GATAAATTAAGCTCTCAAGTGTTCCTTGCTTTATGAAACTCTGCATGTTGTACACTTCAACACAAATAAATGACTTGTACCATTAGAGGTTTAAATAATGTAATGTATTTCATGCTCAGCCTGAAGCTGGATTCCGATGAAGTTGCTAATGCACGTAATGATTAAGTGTAACTCAAATACTAACTGTGTTGTTGAAAACATGACAGGCAATAATTTGGTCTATTATATTCTGCCATTTAATTGCCTAGTACAGACATTCTCTGACACATTATGAAGCAATGATTTACAATTATTCAAGCTGCAAAGGTCAGAAAGTGACATTATAATCATCTACATAGAGATCCCTTCTAATGCACAAAAACTAGGTAATGCCACACACACACACACACACACAGTTTCACTGCATTAGTAACTTTCTATTTAAGGTTTCTCAAACCGAGTAAGAATAAACAACTCATAAGCACATTAATACACAGCAGAAAATATCTAGAATCTTTCCATGAACCTGGAGGTGACGGACTTGGAAAAAATGCCCTTATTCTCTCCCGATTAGGTAAGTTCCACTCAACTACTTAACTCCACACACAAGACTCAAGACCAGACACAGGGAAGTCAATCAGAAAGAGAACACGATCCCCAGAGCAGGCATCCCGGCATCTCTGTGAAGAGAGGCCTGCGGCACTCAGCCAGCACAGCCCAGGCTTCCGCAGATCACAGGCAACTTACTAGTTTGCTACTCACTCACTCTCTCTCTCTTTTTTTTTAAGTAACTGGTTATGAAAAAAAACACAGTAACCTAAGCTCATCAATGTTTACCCCTCTTGCCCTAATGAAGAGACAGTAATATCTTCATCTGTCTAGGCACCTAATTCTATTATACCATGGTTCAATTTGTAATAACCCAAGTGCAATAAATTATCAACACATAAAGAACAATGAAGAGTAATAAAATTATTTAAAACAATGCTTTAATGTGAGAAAAGTGAAATAGAGAAAAAGAGATACAAAAACAGACTGAATACCACAATGTTAAAGGAAAATACCATGCAAGCAAGTTTTTAAAAGCAGAAAACAGAAGTGGCTGGGGCTGGAAGGAGGTAAGTTACAGTTATTACATTCTGATAAAAACAACCTAGAGAGAAAAAAATAAGACAAATTAAAGTAAGTAACCAAAATAACAGATATTGCAAAAAGCAGAGAATTTTTTTTTTAAAAGGGGAGAGTTAAAAGGAAGGAAACAGTGGCCTACCATTACCACCGCATAATCTGAGTCCATCACTAAAAACACATCTGTACAATGGGGATAGTAAACAGCAGAGAGACAATTTCATGACACCAGGAGAGCAACAAAAAAAGAGAAAGCTAATTAAGGTGTAGCACACTATTTATTACTGATAGTATTACATACACTGTTACACGTATGTACACACAGAGACAGAGAGGATCAAATTTAAATAGATCTAACAAAACATGGTGTGGGTAAGCCACTGAGATTTCAAGTCATTTTTTTAGTAGCCAAAGGGAGATCACTGCTTTAATAAAAAGCTGTGTTTGATCTATTTTTAAGCATATGTTTCCAACAAAATTAACTTCTGTATCGAGATGCTTTCTGTTATTTCTTATTCTCGCCCCACTCACCCCATGTCAGACCCACAGCACATGCTCACATGAACTGCCCATTAAGTGCTCACTATACATATACCTATACTGTGTAAAATTCCTCCTGAGATCACATTCGGGTGTAAGAAAAACACTAGGAAACCGTACTCTTCAAAAACTGCTCCTCCTAAAAGTGAAAGTAAAATCAAAGGTTTTTAAAATGAAGTTACCAGTAACAGGTTCTTAACACAGGAATTACAAAGCAACACACTTCCGAAATTTTTACTGCAACATGAGCACATACAACATTGGCAAACGTGAGAGAAAGCCTAAATTCTGAGCCTCAGCTACCTGACAGGAATTAGACACCTGGCACCTTCAGCTGCTTTACAAACTAACTTAACTCCATGACATACTGTAGCTAGGATTTGCTGATGCAGTGGAGAGGATGAACCTTCGAGCTCCATTTTAAGATAAAAGAAAATCAGCTAAAAGAAAATCAGCGTGGGTCCCAACAATGAAGTAAAAGCTTAAATGGCAGTCTTTGTTAGGGGAGAAACTAACACACAACTCAAACTCCGCCTCAGTAAAAGTATTTGAGGTACAGATTTGATGAGCATCTACAAACTTCTTATATAAAGATTGGAAAAACAAGTCAATTACAAGTAATCTAACCATTAATACAGGGCTCAGTTCAACAAAACATACTGTCACTTTCATCTATTTCACTATAAAATATGAGGTTTTTTGTTTTTGTTTTTGTTTTTTTTTGTTTGTTTTTTTTTTTTTTTTCAAAAAAAGCAGGAGGCTACTAAGACAAGATAATACAACAGATAATACAACAGCATGAACAATAAATTCATGTTTAAAATGTGCCTGTTCCGTTATTTCTGTACATTATTACCTAACCAGAACTCTCTGAAAAACAGTTTATCTCTTACAACTCAGGTAATGAAAGGGGCAGAGATGAAGGTCCTGACTACTGCGGGAAGAAAAACACAGTGCAGGACCTTCTGTTTGTGACAAAATTATAGAGTTAATGTCCCTGAAAGATCACGTCACCTTTTAAAGCATGATTTTTTTTAAAAGGTAAAATTTATAGCGATGAAAGCTAATGAAGAAATGCAGCATGAGCTGCTTATGCTCAGGAACTAATAGGTCCACTGAGCATTTCTGGGATTATTTAGCCATCAATGATAATGAATTGACATTGTCACTAATGCTAATGCACCAGTGCTCTCCACCGCCAGGAACCTGAGAGCCAATTCTCAGTTCTCGCTTTCTTCCAGGCTTCTCATGTTAGCTTTTCACCTACATATTGTCCCACCCCTTCAAAAGATATGAAACACAGATGCCCTATGATACTTTTTCTTTACCATTAAAGGGCTCTAACTCATTATTGTTCTGTTTCAACCCCAGAGACCAAAAGGCCTTCTTCGATTTACTGCAATTCTTCAGAACTTTTAGCTTCACTGCGAAAATATCTACCCTATGAAAATCTTCATTACATCACTTTTAAATCAAATTTCACTTAAAAAAATTAAGAGAACTATTATTTCAAAGTCAAGTAAAATTCAGTGACCACCATAATGCTAAAAGATACAATTTTGAAATCTAGATTGTTTTCTCTACACACACACACGCACACGTGTGCGCGCAGAGCTCTCGGACAGCAGTATGAAACTCAATACATCTCTCTGTATTTATAATTCTTTATCTTGGGAATGAAACATGTAACCCACTGGTATAACACTTCAGTGCTGGGGGCAAGCAGTGAGCTAAGCCATGTGTGCACTATTTAAATTGGACAATCAAAGCCAATCGATCATGTATTGTTTTTGATGCCAACTATGCCAGCAACTGCTCTCGATAAAAAGTTTCTTCTTCTCCTTCCCCAGACTCAGTAACCCTAATTAAAAAAAAAAAAAAAAAAAAAAAAAAGGACAGAAATAGATTTCTAATAATAGAGCGCGCAAGAGCTGCTTAATTATTTTGAAGAAATGAGGAAGAAACTGCTGACTGCCTCCTAACAGCAAATGTCCACTGGAGTCTGGCCCGCCTCTTTCCTATAACTCATATATGGTAAAAAAAACAATAAATGAGGTATCTTTTAAAATTCCAAGACCTAGAGCAATTAAAATGAACCATTTGGCACTCGACCCTTGCAGCTAAAATCAGGAGCAACAAAACTCATTCTCCCACTGATCTTCAGGGGGCTTTAGGGCAAAGGTTCATCTTCATTTACTTTAGCTGCAAGTCACTGAACCATCAATTCTGCCAATGAATAAATCTCAGACCATGGTTAATAAAACTGCTTGCAAAGTTATTCGTAAGACTATCTTAAGGGTCAAAAAAATGAAATGCACCGTCCAACAAAAGACAGAAGCTGTTTTTGACTTAAAAGATATTTACTCGGTAGTGCCAGCCACAAGAACCTTCCCCTAAAGAAGGAAACCTACCATAACACGTGCACATTTCATAATTGAATTGAACCTGCAGTATTTCGGGAATCAGCCATAAGAACTGCAGGCTTCCCAGGTTCCACACAGAGTGTTTTCATATGATGCACTTATTCGTTAATTTCTCTAGATTAATGGAATTAAAATATATTTTTAATCAGAGGTAGGGTATTAAAATCCAGCTCTGAATGTCCTATGATATACCGTAGATGTCATGGCATTTTAAAACCTTTTAAACATTTCTGCTAAATTAATTAGTTGTGCATTAAGGCATCTCAGTGCTTCCTATTAAACGCAACACATCTGAGTGACAGTTTTAACACTGTGAATGGTTCTTCAGAGGAAGAGCCGTTAAGTTAAAATGGAAAACAACTTTGGAAATAAAGTTACACAAAAACATACATTATACACTGTTTATCTAAGCTTCACCCCTATAACAATCAGTAATCAGCTGTCCGAAATTAAATCTTTTTCTGCCTTTCTCCTTATGGAGTGTGTCCAGTCTATCCAAAGAGCCATTAATGTGACTAAAATTAAAGCAGTATAGCAAAAGGGAAAAAAAAAAAAAAAAAAAAAAAAAAAAAACACACATACATACATACAACACTCCTAAAGCTGTATTATATTTTTTTTTATGTCTTTAAATGGAATTTACAGTTCTCTCTGGCAATGTGAATGAACATCCTATAATTTAGTCAATTTACAGATTACAGGTTCAAATTGACCTTGTAGCCCATAAAATTGCTCATCTTCAGTAGAGGATTAGAAGTGGGAGAAGAATGTCATAACTGTATTTAAGGAATTTACCATAACAATGGAAAGGAGGGTACGCATGCATAATTTTAGCCACTCTTACTCATATCAGTTTTGAATTCTGAAACAATGGCTAGCCTGCACATGCTTCCTGGTTCACCGCGGTGGAGATGGTTTCCATTTACTCACCCACAGACGTGACACTTGTATTCCCTCATCCCAAGGTGCCTTTTGACATGGTTTCTGGCATCGCCAAGCTGAGCTGTTGCAAAATGGCATATCTTGCACTTGAATGGTTTTGATCCTAAGTAAATTTAACATAAAATATGATTTGAATTTGAATAATACCTTACTGATAGTTTAAAAAGAGGCCTAGATCTTAAATCACACTTTTCATCTGTTTAGAAATTTCTGGCCCCAAAATGGAATACCTGCATTCCTTTCTAACTGGAATAGACCCGCATTCCATAATAATTCTACCAAGAAGATTTCAATGTTTCAGTGAGTGTTCCTAACTTTCAATAACATGTCTAAGATTTAAAGTCAAAAGTGATACAGTCAAGCAGTACTAAGTAGGTAAGGAGAGCCAAATAATTTTAAATTTTTCTAACAATTTGCAAAAATATTCAACTTCTAAAATGGATTATAAAAACAAATGCATATGGAGTAGCTGATATTTTATAAAGTATATTTATCATCAAATAAATTTTCAGAGGCCACCTCCGTTCCTCATATTTCTGCAGCTTTGAATTTACTCACATTAAGAATGGCATTTCAGATTTTTTTTCTGACATTTATCCCAAATGATTCACTACATTATTATTTTAATAGCACACAATGTAAGAATATATAGTGGATAAGTATTTGCTTTTATGATCATTTTATAGTCAGAAATCTGTGATGATTCTGCAAACCAGCAGTACTGATGTTTTATTTATTGATTTGAAGAACAAATATATCAATATAAGAAGCACAGTACCACAATTTTTTTTTAATTTCACAAAGATTAACCTACACTCAAATATGAGAGAACAAAATAATTTCAACAAGGACAAACCTAGTACCAGGAATAGACAAACTGTAACTGGGACACAGTTACTAACAGGTGACCCTAACCCACATTAATGAGAAGCAACTCTCCTGGAAGAACAACATGCATATACCCCTTTTCAATTTTCTAACCACTAAGTCCCTAAATAAATAAATCAAAATCATAAAAATCACAGTCTAAAAACCAGTCCAATATGTCTCCAGATCTTTCGTACCATGTTTAGTACCTATTTGGTGAAATACCTCTTCTAATATAGTTAGACAGAATGTGATATATGTGAACTTCAATAAATATACAAAAAGAGCTCAAATAAAAAAAAATTGCAATAAATCATATTTGATCAATGAACCTTTGTGCAGTGCCCTTGAAAAAAAAAATCCTCCAAGAATACTTTGTTGAAATTGAAGCACTCAGTAAAAAATTTCAGAGTCTTAAATTTCAATTTAATTCCCAAAAGCTGACAAAAAAAGTGAAGCATTTAATTTTAATCTTCTAACAGAAATAAAAAAGTCAACAGTACTAAGCACGGGCAGACAAGGTTGAATATTTCACAGTTCAATGACAATGAAGCCAGATCTCTTAATACTTCCATTTCTACTGTTAGAAGTAGATGTAAAATATATTTAGCACCTGAATGGTTATATCTAGTCAGCTTTATATGTTTAAATGTCAAAAGCAGGTTGAGACTGCAGCTTACAGCAATCACATTCTATCAATCACATTAGAAACTACAGTTTATTTAAATGATTCTGATAAAACTAAGCCTACCACTACCTGGAAACATCTCCACACAGAATTTTATAAAGGGACACAGAAAAGAGAAGAGTGAGAAGAACCAATTTACCTACACTTTAAATTGAAATGCATCCAAGGTAGTAAGGCATTTAGGAAATTATTAATTAACAATAACATCAGGACTCCAACCAAAGAAAATAAAGCTCTCAACATTTGCATTACAGTTTTGGTGAAAGCCTTTCAAATCTGTGGATCTAGGTTTTCGTCACGCTGCCCCTGCACTGCACTGAGAGGAGTCCCTCCTATGGGACAAAGGTGCCACAGGGGCTGGGTACAGACCTTTCAAGTTACTCTACGTGGCTCCTTAGTGGACAGCTCGCGTTCCTCACTGACAGTGTGCTGACAACACATAAATGAGTTATTCTGTTGACTGCTTTCGTGCAGAAATCACGGAGCTCCTATTTTTCACATCTTATATTAGAAGAGACCATGTTAACATCTTTCTGTGCCAGAAAAATTCCAGGGAAGTGGAGATAATACTTTTCTGCCCAAGGAAAAAGAAAGATCCTCTTTTTTCTATTCATGTTCCCAGTTTAAAGTCTGCGAGGCCCATCCCAAAATGAATCCAGGCATACTGTTTATAAGGCGAAAATTCTAAAGCCACATATTTCTAAATTTTTCTTGCAAGGGTTATCATGATTATTATAAACTGTCAATACGATTTTGAATAGTTCCATTCCTAGGAACAGCATTATCCTCAGTAGGTTTTCTTCTTTTAATCTGGCCTCTGAGGTTTTCTGAAAGGGAAAAAAAGAAGAGACTCTCCAGCTTTCTGGCATCTTACAATTTTACCAAAAGAATTCCCAAGATTTTTAAAACCAAATCTTCACCAAGACCTACAACAGCCGTTCATCACCATCACTCACAGTTAACTGCTATGCATACATGGATGTGAGATGAACATTTAAAAAATGATACTCAAACTTCACGTTTTAAAGAATGTCTGGAACCCATCATCTACTGCTGCTCCACAAAGCCTCAAGGCTACATACAGCACCCCCCAAACACTCAACACTTGGCTCCATCCTTCACTCCTTCCTTCACTGCTTCCTTCACTGCGCCTGGGCCGCAGAGACGAAGAGGGAACAGAGCGCAGCCCAGCCTCTCGCTAGGCTTGGAGTCAACGCACCAACTGTCCTCACCATCTCTTCACAAGCGGATTCAGCTTCTAAACTGTCAGATACGTAGGAAGCCGAACACTACCCGCCCTCACGTGAGACCTTCTCAGTGAAATCACACAACTCCCTATCTCCTTGCGTCTGAACATTTCCAAACAGCACAAGTGACTGTGTGTGCTCAGAGCATCAAATGAAGGGCTTTCGACAGTCTTGTTTAATGACATCTGCCAGCCACGTCCTAAGAAAGGAAAGCTCTACCCAACAGAATAACTCCGGAGAGAAAGTGAACAGCTGTTACTGCCCTCCTAATGTAAGGGGAAAGGCAACACGGCCCTTTCTGATCATGCTGATGACTTCACACAAGCAAAGGCACAGAAACTCTGGGGTGCTTTTTTCCTACAATTCTTAATAACCAAACCTCATTTATTTCTTAAAATGCTGTTTGTATTGTGCTAAGGATGGGAAGAAAAGGTGACATAAAATAGAGAGTAAATCACAAAATATGAAAACAGGGATTGGAAGAGTAAGTCCTTTTCCAGTTAATCATTAATAACAGTCCCTGCATTACTACTCACGGGCATAACCAAATTATCAGAAAAGCAATTCATTTTAAGATGCCCCAAGGAAGGGAGAAAAAGAAAAAAAAAAAACCCTTGGGTTAAAACCAGGAGAGCAACATCCCCCAGAAAGTGGCTTACAAAACTGCAATGGTAGATTGGCCTTGTGTCCTGAGGAGCAGGGCTCTTTGTGGTGCTTTGGGACACAATAAAAATGTACTTGCTGATAAGCCCAACAGAAGATGTTAAAAAGTATGCTAACTTTTACTAAATGTTACAATCAATGATGTAACTTATATAAGTAGGGTTACTTTGTCACATATTGATAGTTACCTCACTTTCACATCCACATTAACTTGATTTTAAATGCAATTAATACATATAGTCAAGGAAGACTAATGGACTACATTCCGCACTTAACCTAGTGGACGTTTTCAAATGGCACAAGTGACCAGTGCAAACCTATTTTGCATTGTAAACGACTAAATAAATCTTAATGGATTAAGAATGATCAGCTATCAACACACAAGGGAAATTAAGTGCTGAAATGCCTACATTGATTATTTTAAATTATTAGCCTTACTCTGTTCTTGAATTTGTATGCTTTTAGTGAGCTTTAACACATTTACAAGACTTATTGACTATAATTACAAGAGAATTCAAGTAATGGACACATCAATTATAAGCAACATGTCTTGACCAGACAGTTGCATAAAGAATTCTAAAAAGAGGTCCATTAGCATCTTCCTCTTAGTTTTATTCAGTTTTTATCTGCCTTTAGAGGGCATATTAAGAAAGTACATACCTTCTACACACGTGAACAAGCCTGATTTCTAAAAGCCAGAAAACTCCCTAAAGTGAGCAACACAGTAACAAAAGAGGTATTAATAATGCCAAGAAATCCGTATTTGGATTTATTTCCCAACAATAGCTCCACTGTTTGAAGAGTTGGGGCCAAGAGTACAATGTTTGTATTTACCTAGATTAATCTTATGCAGGTTGCCCTCTTATTTTCTTCAAAGAAAAACTTTTATCTATCTTTAATCTCCCTAAACTAGTAATGTTTCAAACTCTTTTGTCTTCCTCCTTGTAACCATGCACTAAGTTTCAAAAACTGCATGAATTTAAAGTATAGCTTTAATAATAAGCCATTATTTAAAAGTACAGTAAAATAAACCTTACAGTTTTAATGAAAATATGTTCATTGAAATGTGAATTTATTATTCAAATCCACTCATAAATTCAACCATGGAGACAGAACTTGTCTAAGCAGAGCACAATGATTTAGAAAAGCTGTCTATTTAAAATAAAGAATGTATGGCAGGTTTATAGAAACAGTGCAGTGAATTTTTACATAAATTTAGAACAGTGGCTTATGCATTTTCCACAAAAAAAAAAGTTTAAAAAGAATTTCCACCCCAAATTAAACATTAAAATGGAACACTACATTTGACAGAGCACAGAAACTAAATCAGGTGCTGCCTTCGTGAAAACCAAATCCCTAGGACATATTAACTTTGAAAAGTGTTCACTAATCTTGATCCCTGAAAGTAGAATCTTGGTGCCTGGGAGTTACACTTTTCGATATAAACCATCTGCCAATGAATAATTTTAAATCCCTAAAATTCTAAGAAAATTTTTATTATTTCATTCTTCAAAAGCCAATTAATATGTCCTTGGAAACCCACAGAGCCACTTAATAGCTACCTTGGAAAACCAAACAATCAGGACTCAAAAGCAACTGGAAAGCTGTTAAGAGACAGGACTTCAGCAAAGGCATCTGAGGGGCAAGGCTTTTTGATAAAATGAAAAATGTGTCAAAAAACCTGCCCTGGAATCACTAAGCCTTAATCAGCTTCAGAAATGTTCAGTGTCAACATTGACTTATGGCACATGTCGGGAGTGCCACCCAGCAGGGTCACGTGAGCCAGGGGAGTGGCCCACCAAGCAAATGCAGCGCAGACTCCCTATCTGGACGGGACAACAAGCCATGCTGCCCTTCGTCTGTGCCTGACGGGCCCACGCGGGTCCACGGAGGGGTACATACCTGTGTGGGTGCGGATATGTGCCAGGAATGCCATCGAGTTGCTACTCCGACACAACTTCCCGCAGTACTTGCAAACATTTCCCTGATTTTCTTCTCTCTCGCGGTTGATTTGCTCAGTGTCTTCCACTATGTACTTGTTCACCTCCCGGAGCAGTTCTTCATGCTGCCCTTTAATATGCAGAAATAAATTCTGTTCTGAATCAAAGGGCTCCGTACACTTGACACATTTAAAAGTCGCCCCTCCCTCCGGAAGCTCCTCTACACTGGCCTGCTCATTTCTCATGTGGCCTGCACTGGCCAGATGCTGATGGAGGTTACTCTCGGTGTAGAACGACTTTCCACACAGTAAACAATGGAAGTGTTTCTCTTTTGTAGGGTGTTTCATGGCGATGTGAACATTCAGTCCACTCAAACCATCGGCTAAGAAGCCACAATCATCGCAACGAATTCGTGTGGACTCACCAAAGGAAACGCCTTCAGATTTCTTCTTTTTCACGCCTTGAGCACAGTCTTTAAAGGGCAACTCACTAATCCTCACACCTGTTGTGACCAGACCCTCTTCTGACGGGTCTAACAATTCTCCATCTTCAGGGTTCTTGATCCTTATTATGGAAGAATCAAACCGGCCAAAACTGTACATGGCCTGTCCTTTGTCATCAATACTGATTATAGTCTCATAAATGTCATTACTTTCAACTGCGCTATCAGAAGCTGGGCCATCCTCTTCCAAAATAATTTTAGTTTCCTGTTGGGAATTCAACAGAATTTCCTTGTTCTCCAGAACAGGGTCTTCTCGAGTATCTTTCAAATCCTCTGAACTCTGCACACTCCCAACTTCGTTCTGACCACCGCTCTCCAGGTTCAGCTCCTGCCTTGTCCTTGTCATCACAGAAGGGATGGTGCCTTCGGCCAGATGCCCTCCCCCGAGACCTCCAGGACATCCACGTTTGCTAGGGGCATTATCTATATTCTCCACTGCCTGGCCGACATCGCTCTCACTGCGTGTGCTCCCATCGCCAGGCTCATCCAACGTGCTGTGGGCTCTCTCTACTGCCTCATAATCCAAAGCTGGGCTTCCTGAATTTTCATTCTGAAATCTGCTTGGGGAGCCACAATTAGAGGAAATATTAAGGGACACCATCTCCTCAGGTTTCAGAGCTTTATCCTTGGCCAGAGTCTGTTGGAAAGTTTCACAAAAGGAACGGTCTTCACTGAGATTAGATTCTTCTTCAGTCTCAATCTCCACGGAGGTGGGAGCACGGAGGACCTTAGACACATCTAAATTAGTGTCCTCATCCAAAACACAACAATCAGCAGTACTTTTAGATTTCAGAACCTCTTCAGATGGCTCGTCTGAAATTATCTGATATTCTTCAGAATTGTGTTGATGTTGCTCTTCGGGGATAATGATGTTTTTGGACACTTCTGTGTCAGAAGAGGTCAGGTAAGACTGCCTTTTCATCTTGTGTTTTTCTGTGGCTGCATGCCTAGTCATCTCTCGACGAGTCACAGCGTAGTAATCGCAGGCCATGCAATAAAAAGCAAATTCTTTTGTATGCTTCCGTTTTACATGGAGTTCTAGAGAAGCAGAAGAGTGAGCATTAAACTCACAGTGTACACACTTGTTATCACTTGTACCCGTCACATCTCTCTGGGAGCACGCATCCGCCTGCTGGAGAGGGTCCTCTGGCTCTAGAGACATTTGTTCCTTTTTATCAGAAAGGTGACTGTGGACTTCCCCATCTGCAGAATGAAATACATTTTCACCTTCGACTTCAGCTGGATTTCCGTGCTCTGGCACTGGCTTTTCTGAAGTGGAGGTATCTGATTCAGCTGACCTGTGAGCAAGTTCATCTGAACCTGCTAAAATGGCATTCTTTCTACAGGCTTCAAGGTTACCCCCTTCGGGGCCAACAACGATATCTGAATTCTGCTTGCCATTTGCTTCTATTTCTACACGTCCTTTATGTTTCTTAGTGGCACAATGGCGCTCCATATCTCCCTTAGTTACGGTATAATACTTACACACTTTGCATAAATAACTATACTGATGACTGTGTTTTCGTCGAATGTGAACGGTCAGGTTTGTAATACTAGAGGCCAAGAGACCACAGTGAGAGCATGTCCGTGAGATGTTACCTTTGGGTCTCCCTCTCTTTGGAGTAGCAGTCAAAGCTACCTCACCCTCTTTGGTCGTTACACCAGACTGTGGCACTTCCTTGGTAGTCACTAGGCTCTTTTCCAGATAGGAATGTTCCTGCAACCGCACACCTTCTACATGGCCTTCAATCCTTCCATTTCCAGAAACGTGAAACTCTTCTTTTTTGTCATTTGCACCTATACACACCCTTTCAATACATTCTTCAAAACTTAAGCCAATGTTGTTTTTCTTGGCGTTTTCCAGATGCTTACTTCTCTTGATGTGCTTCTCCATTCCCTCCTTGCTGAGCGAGTAAAGATTGCACGCTTTACAAAGAAAGTGATAGTCCTGGCCATGCCGGAGCTTGATGTGTCTTGTGAGAACAGTGGAAGACCGTGTTTTATAAAAACACTTCTTACACTGAAACTGAGGCTTACTGGAGTGCCTCACTTCGTGCCCATGGCTTGCCCTGGACTTAGAAGGTTCTTCCTGAGCTACAGACTCATTCATAGGACCTTTTGTATCTTCTGATTCTAAAGTACTTAAGGATAAAGTCTGTAAAGCCAAATCACTGTTAAACGACTGGGAAGTCTTTGGTTGAACCAACAAACGAATATGCTTCTCGGTTTTTTTGTGTTCTTCCACGTCTTTCTCAGACAAGAAGAGATTGCAAGGAGTGCAAAAACAACCCATATTGTGCTTTTCCTTCATGTGGTCTCTAAGATTTAGCTCATTCTCAGAAATAAACGAACAGCACTGACACCTGAGGCCAACGGCAGTGTGCTGATGCTGGCGATTGTGCAAATGCTTATCAGGGTCCCCCCTCGATGTGCTGGAAAAACCGCATGCCTGGCAGCAAAGCCTCGCCTCTCCCGCAGGGCCCCTCTCCCCGTGGCTCCCCACGCCTGTCCTATTTGGCGCTCCGTGACCACAGTCTGTACGAGCACATATCTGGTGATCAGCAGCCGGCCTCCCCGTCGCAAAGCCGCCGGAGCACACGACAGGGGAGCTCCCTTTGTCCCGCGTCAGGCCCGGGGTTTCCGAGGAAGTCACACGCAGACTACGCACACCGCCACCTGCTTCTCCGTGTTTGGCCATACACTCTGTCTCACTTGCCTTCACCTGCATTCTAAAGTGTTTCATATACAACCTCTGGGGGTCATTAGTTGCTCTTTTACTCATTCCTAAAAGATTAAGCCTTTTCTTGGCCTGGCCTTTTAAGGTAAACGTGCCAGTTCGTCGTCGGAAGCCACCGCCCAACAGGAGGACGCCGCGCTCGGGTCTTGGTCTCGGGCTGGCACAGACTCCGTGCGCTGCCTGGAGGGTATTTCTGGTAGATTCCAACTTGTTAAAGAGACCTTCTGAGCTTACCAACGCTCCTATCTTTTTGCTTTTACTCTGGTTTTCAGGGTTTCGAGCTATACCCATGGAAGTTACGTTTTCTTCAACCATCTCTACTCTTTCGGACGAAGTGCTCCGGGATGGCATCATTTCAACGAGCAGCTCGCTGCCTCCACTCTGCTTGGACACGCCTCCTCGGAAGTCGTGGACTTTGCTTCCAGCACTCCGTGCGCCTCTGGGATCACTCGTCCTTGCCGTGGGTTTAGCAGGTCTGGGTTTTACGCGAACATTTTTTGTTCCCAGGGTACACGGTTTCTTGGGAAAGGGCTGTTTTGTTAGGATCTGCACAAATCCTCCGCGAGCAGCGAGATTCTGACGCCGGAGGTGCGTCTTGCCGAGGTAGTGCGCGTTCAGCAGGTTCTCTTGCGCGCACTGGAAGCCGCACAGCTCGCAGGAGAAGACCGGCTGCGGCCCGGGCGTCGGGCTCGCGTGCACGCGCAGCGCGGCACCGCTCTCTGCCCTGTGGCCGCAGCGGCAGCACGCGGGGCCGGCCACCTGCTGCGTGGGGCCCTCGGCGCGCTGCTCCACGTCGGAGCAAGAAGAGAGCAGATGACCGCAAACGCTGCACTTGAGAACCGGCTCGACGTGTCCGGCGGCACAACCAACACTGGTCTCTGTCCGGGGGACAGGAGAGCCTCTTTCCGCGTCGAGGGAGACCACGTCCTGAGCAGCCTCGTCTTCAGGGTCTGTCTTCGGAGACACCGCATCACCAGGGCTAAAACCGCAAGGAGCGGAGAAGGCCCTGGGAGGACAAGGGCGGCCGGCCGGGCCCTCACTGAGCAGCGCCTCCTTCGCGGTCTCGCCTAGCGGGGCAGGCACTTCCGGGGCGGAGCGCTCCGAAGTGTCTCCGCCCAGAGCGCGCGGCTCGACCGGCTCAGGGGGCCCCGCGCCCGCGGAGAGCCGCAGCCGCTTGCACGCGCGCTGGTTTCCGTCCACCGCCGCGGGGACGGGGACGCGCGGGAAGCCTCTCTTGCTGGTGGCAGGCTCTGAGGCACGTGCTATCCCGTCACACACGGGCCCGCCGTCTACAGGGCGCGGTGAGGAACTTGCTGCGTCCGCTCCTCGGCTCCTGTTTTCATCGTCCTCGCTCTCCGGCTTCTTCTCCGCATCCATGGCCGCCGACGTGCTGAGGCGGCCGCGGCCTGGCGCGGCTCACCGGGCGCTCGCCACCTGCGCAGAAAACAGACAGCTGGTCAGGCCGCGCACGGGACACACAGCCTCGTCCGGAGGCCAGCACGGGGTGACGCGCCGAGCGCGGGCCTGTCACCGCCTCGAGCTTTCCTGCACACCGAGAACTGCACGCGGCCGCCGAGGGCCGCACGGAAAGGCCTTCGTCAGACTCGGGAGCGGCGCCCGCGCCGGAGCTCGGCGAGTCTGCGCCGGAAGAGGCCTCGCCGGCCCGAGCCCCTCTCCCCGCCGGCGCACGGCCGCCGCTGCGGATTCCCACGGGGAAGCCGAACCCCCCTCCGTGAAGCAAACGGAACAACCCGCTGTGACACACGCCGGGACGCGGGCCCCCCCGCAACGCAGGAGCTCGGCATCCTCCCTTCCCTGCAGCCACGCGCCTCGCCCTGATTTTCTAAACACGTCCTCGTCCTCGTTCCCATCGCCGCGTTCGCCGCGCCGCCGCCCCCGGCCGCCGCCGCGCGCTCTCTCACGCCAACGGAGACCTCCTCCCTGCCCGCCGCCAGTCCCGGTTTCCTCATCCTACAGCCCTGCAGCGCTCGCTGAAGGCTCGGCACAAGCGGAAACGCCCGCAGGAGAGCAGGATTAACGAAGCAAATGTGGGGGGAGAGAAGAATGTCACTGAATAAAATGCTTTAAAATCAATAATATTGATTTTATTTTTCCTTATGCCATTTAATTCAATTAAAACATATCATTTTCCATTTACTTTACACCAGGACTGGAATTTTTAGCCAAATGCCACTGGATTTCGTGTGAATAAAAAACCATCAAATATTATGGCCTCAAAACTAGTGATAACTATTTTATCTATTTAACTACTTTTTTCATAACAACAAACCCAATAAAGGCTGTTGCTCTGACACTGCTTAAAGCAGAGAACAAAATATATTTATGTGATACCAAATGCATGAGCAACAGAAGAAAAGGAATAAACTGGGCTTTAGCAAAATTAAAAATTTCAAATGACTGTGTGCTTCAACGGCCACAATCAAGAAAGTGAAAAAACAATTCACAAAGCAGGAAAAACATTTTGCGATCATCTACCCGACACGGGGCTTAAACATAGAGAGAACTCTTACCACGCAATGATAAAAAGATGAACCAATTTCTAAATGAGCAAAGGGGCTCACTATGCATTTCTCCAAAGAAGATATACAAACAGCCAAAAAGCACATGAAACATACTCTATCAGTACTCATTAGAGAAATGCAAATCAAAACCATAATGCAATACCATTTCATACTCATTAGGACAGCTAGAATCAACACGTCAGACAGTAACAAGTGTTGGTGAGGATGTGGAGACATCAGACCAATCACTCAAAGGCTTGTAGGGGATGTAAAACGGTGACGCCACTTTGGAAAAGAGTCTGGCGGTTCCTCAAATGACTAAGCATGGAGCCACCATATGGCCCATCAGTTCCGTTCCAGGTATACGGCCAAGAGAAGTGAAAATACATATCCTCGTGAAAACTTGTACACAAATGTTTACAGCAGTATTAGTCTTAATAGCCAGGGGGTGGAAACAGCCCAAATGTTTATCAATGGATTAACAGAAAAACTGAATGAGGTACATCCATACCCACACGACAGAATATTCGGCCACATGAAGGAATGGTATTGACATATGCCATGGTATTGACATATGCCATGGTATTGACATATGCCACGGTATGTGTGAACCTTGGAAACGCTAAGTGAAAGAAGCCAGCTACAGAAGACCACACAGCATAGGATTGCTTTCACTGGAAATGTCCAACATAGGTATATCTACAGCTATAGAAAGCAGGCCAGTGGTTCCTTAGGGCTGGGGGAGGAGGGTAAGACAGGGGGTGAAAGCTACAGATCATAGGGTTTCTTTCTGAGGTGATAAACATGTTCTAAAATTTCCTGTGGTGATGGTTGCACACATCCATGAACATACTTAAATCCATTAAACTGTAGTTCAAATGGTATCTCAATAAAGCTGCTTAAAAATACACAAATTGTTGTATATAACCTACAACACAAAAGCATCTTCTATTTAATAACTGTCTTACAAGAACAGAGTGTACCATTCTTGTAAAAGAGTAAAAAAGATAAATGTACATAGTTTTATTACACTTACAAGATGTTTACCATTTCTCAAGATGTGATCCAGAAAATATAAATTAAGTAAGAAGTTAATAGATGTTTGGGCAGGAAAGATAAACCTCTGGTCAAATACATTCAGGCAACTCTGGTTTGAACCAAAGTTTCTTTACCATAGGATGTTTCAGCACATAAGCATTTCCCAAACCAATTTCATTATAGAACTCATTATTTATAAAGAATCAAGAGACCAGTGGTTCCAAAGAACCCTTTAGAAAATGCTCCTTTAAATAAAGCATTAGTTCTGCTATTCAACATTCGTAACTAAAGCGTAAACGGGGTGGGGGGGATCAATCATGCATCTGTCCCCAAAACGTCATGAAGTCCCTACCATAAGCCAAGTATTCTTGGTTGTAGATACTGGAATTACGGCAAAGAACACCACAAAATCTCTGCCTTACATTATAAATGGTTGGACAATTTTTTTTTATTAGAAATATTGCCCAGTCCAGAAACGTCTATTTCTAGTCAAGAAGAGTCAAGGAACTGTATTTACTCTTGCACATGAAACTACTAAAAAAAAAAAAAAAAAAAAAAAACCAAAAAAAAAAACCTGGCAAAATCTATGAAAGAACAGCTTAACACTTCGGACAGCAGAAACTACAGGATGGTGATCAGAGACGAGCTACAAAAGAAAAAGGAGTCCCAGTTTATAGCCCGGAGAAAAGGACCCAGGCCACAGCACAGCAACAGGGATCCCAGACAAAGCCCAGGAGTCTTCCAATAAAGTTGAGGGGCAGCTAGAATCTGTTGGGCAGAGTCAGAAAGAGGAGAAACACCAGAAAGAGAAGCCCAGAGACCTACACGGGGTCCCTCATGGGTGTCCCTATCAAGATAGAGATCATGCCACCTTCCCAAAAAATTGTCTCCTGCCCACTCACTCCTGGTAACTCCCCCTCTCTCCCTGAGGCAACCACTGCCCAGTCTTCTGCAATGAATTAGTCTCACCTGTCCCAAAAGTTCACAGAAATGGAATCAGACAATAGGCCTTTTGCAGGGAGAGGGTCTGCCTTCTTTTGCTCAACATAGTGTCTCTTGCATATATGAAGAGTACGCACATCCCAATCCCAGTGAGAGCAGTGTCCCGTTGTACAGGTACACCACAATTCCGTGGACAGACCCTTCTTTGGCTCTTAGGACAAAGCTGCCATGAATATTCTCAGACAAGTGTTTTTATGAACATATATGTTCATTCCTTTTGTGTAAATACCTCGGGGTAGTAAGGCTGAACTACAGGGACAAATGTGTATGCTAATACTCTTGAGAAACTAAGCTTCTTACACAGCGACCAACAATGTCAAGCATTTTGACTGATGCACACATTTTCACCAATATTTGATGCTGCCAGTCTTTTCAATTTAAGTCATCCTGGTCGTGTGTGTGGCTCTCATCTGCACTTCGCTGATGACTGCTGATGGTGCTGAATACTTTGCTGTGTGCTTTATGAGATGTTCGCTAGCCTTCTGCCCACTTCTTACACAGGTCGTCTCTTTAGTTACTGAACCAGGAGTTGCTTATATGTTCTGAATATAAATCACCTGTCAGACACAGGTTTCAGAAATATTTTCTCTCTTTTCATTTTGTTAATGTATTTTGATAAGCAAAAGTTTTAAATGTTGATGCAATCAGTGTTTTTCCTATTGTGGTTATTTGTATGCCTGGTGTATTTCCTGTCCCCCCATGCTAGAAGGTAAGGGCAAGGTTTCTTTTATGAACCCTTACATCCAAAGAGCCTAGAACAATTCCAAGCACATATAAGGTACTAGAATAAACAAATAACTCACTGTGATGTAATAAATGTCTCTTCTCCAAGTATTTTTTTTAAGACTTTATTTATTTGACAGAGAGAGATCACAAGTAGGCAGAGGCAGGCGGGGGATTGGTGGGGGGGGGGAGCAGGCTCCCTGCTGAGCAGAGGCCCCTGGGATTATGACCTGAGCCGAAGGTAGAGGCTTTAACCCACTGAGCCACCCAGGCACCCCATCTTCTCCAAGTATGTATAGGTAAAATGAAAAATGTCTGAGACATACTTCAAAGCAGTCCAGCAGAGGGGCACAGTGAAGGCTATGTGCTGATAATGATTAATGCTGACGGACAGTTACATGGAAATTCAGTATACTATCCTACCAACTTGTGTATATATCTATATATGTACATGTTTGAAAATGTCCCTAACATAACCTATGTTTAACATTTTTTAGTGTTTTATCTAAAATGGTGTGAGTTCTCTTCCTTTCAATGAGGAGTCCAACCACCTCTTTCCCTTCTGACACGGCTCGGACACACGACCATACCACCTTCACTGTGGACACTAGCAGGAGCTTCACCTATGAAGTGTGCGTATAGAACAAACACTGACCTATAGAAGTGTACGTATAGAACAAACACTGACTTAGGGGGACTCACACACGTACACCTCTGCAGTGTGAATGTTCTAATGATGGAACAACACATGACTCCATTATTTCAGACAGAAGAGTGACAGCTGCATTAATACACACATACAGAATAATGAAACCCTTTATTATCTTCTATATAATGTCTCCAAAAATTTTAAAACAAAAGGAGAAAATATTTCTACACTTGTTATCGCCCAACTGATTTTTTAAAGTGATGAAATAATTCAACATCTCATTTTACCGAGAAAGAATACTGAACACTCAACACACACACACTGAGGGCCAACCGCATGAGGGGCACTAATGTGCTGCCCATGCGTTCTTTGCCCTCACCAGGCTCTTGTTCTTTCAGGAGCCATGTGACATCCATGCAAAAGTACTGTAATACAAGGCCAGG